TAGCTAGACCTTGTAATGTAAAAAATAAAGCAACAATTTAAAAAAGAGAATGAAATAATCTAAAACAAAGATAGCTGATAAAGAGGAAGTCAGTGCATCAAGCATAAATACTTATTAAAAATATTGTTTCCCATCAAGTAAAATGGTTGTTTTATACTATGTATTAGGCTATGCTTGAAGCTGTTTCAGGTTTTACATTAAAACTAATTGTCACAGAATATTGTTGGGATAGAAAAATTTGTTATGTATAAGAAAGACAATGTGATGAGTAAATATTTATGAAAGAATGAATAAAGTGTTTTATTGAAAATTCTTGAAATGGGCCAGGGAGATAGCTCAGTGCCAAAAGTGTGTGCCTGACAAGCGTAAGGTCCTGAGTTTGATTCCCAATGTCAGAAAAGAAAAAAAAAGTCTTTCAAATACAACTCTTCAAAGCTGGTTAAATATGCAACGTTTTAATTGAAATTTGCCATATTAGGAGTTTTAAATGTGCTCCTTTTGAAAATGTCACAGTTACTATTTATTGACAAGCATAAAAATATTTTACCTACTTTACCTACTTGACAGTCATTTAAAAATTTGTAGGTGACATTCTTCCCTTGCATCTATGTTCTATCACTCCACCGAAGAAAGCAGAAATTTACTTAAAGTATTTAAGGGCAAAATTTGGAATCACATTTACAAACATACTGACTTTTTCTGATTCATGTTTTATTGAAAAGCTAGACATTTAAATTGACAAAGATTATCTGTAATAAAGCATTTGAATGTGATTCCACTCAGACATATAAGGAAGAGCAAAACAGTGTTTTGCTGCAAGTTGCTACCCTGGGGATTTAAATTTTCATTTCCCATAAAAATATAAAACTGGAGAAATAAACAGCTGTACATTTTGCACTACACAGTTTGAAACTGAAAAATGTATTGTAATTGCATGAGTATAATATTTTTTAGAGAATATAATAACAGTTGAGCTCTAGCAGATAGGCAGAAAAAGCAAGAGGAGATGAGAGTGGAGCATGTGTGAAATGCTGGATGAAAGAACCCCATGTACATTAGCCAAACACAATTTTAGTTCATATTATTTAATCTCTACATCTCATTTTGTGAGAATTTCAACAAAGATTTTGAGCACTTCTGTTTATTTGGTGATGAACTTTTCATTTCAAAATATTAGAGCAAGGTGGGTTTCTCAGGCAACATTGAACCTCACATAGACAAAGTCCACTAAGGGTTGCTTGTTGTGCAGTGCCACTGTGGCCACCAGACTTTCTGTGACAAAGCACAAGTAGGGTCACATTAAGTTTTGTTGTAGATATGTAGTTATTGTGTAAATATGGAAGGCATTATACATTGAAACCCAGCTGAAGACTATAAGTACTGTCATCTCAATTTTTAAAATAGACACTCATTGTTTAAAAATAATAAATAATAACTAGGAAGTATTGCTGAGTGAGTTACTCATACAGTTTATGGGAGTTTAAGTTGCTAAAAGATTTCTGGAAGGATACATTTTATGTCTTTTGTTTTTAATTTTTAAAAATGTTAATTCTCACATAATAATTATGGATGTTTATGGAATACAGTGTGATACTTCAGTACATGTGAAAAATGACTTACTATTAGATCGGGATAATTGGTGTACTAATCTTCTTAAATATGTATCACTTCCTTTTTTGGAGGGGGAGTGAGTGGTATATAGCTCAGTGGCAAATGCCCCTGCCTGGCAAGTACAAAGTCCTGAGTTCAATCCCTGGTACTGCCAAAAAAAATTCCAATCTTTTGGGGGGGAACATTTTGAAATCCTAATGAGTATTTTGAAATATACCACTAATATTGTACTGTACAAGAATGGTAAAAGTTCATATTCATACCTCTTTCTAGAATTAAAAATGTCACTTTCAACTTCTCTCCATTCAGCACATTAGCTGTTAGTTTGTTATGTACAAATTTAGTTTTGTTGAGGTGTAATTTTTATCTGCTTTGATGAAAATGTTTATCATGAAGAGATGTTTAGCTTTATCTGTGTTTATGTATCTACTGAGATTACTATATGGTATATTTTCTTTCATTCTGTTGATATGGGGCATCAGTTAATTGATCTGTGTCTGTCAAATCATCCTAGCTAGCATCCTGAAACTAAATCACAGTGCACAAGCTTTTTGACATGGTATTGATTTTAGTTTACCAGTATCTTACTGAGACTTTCTGCATTTATGCTTTCATCAGAGATAGAGGTCTGTAGTTTTCTTATTTTGGTGGTCTGGCAAAAAGGTAATGCTGGTCTCATAAATGAATTTGGAAGAATCTGATTCCTTTCAACTTTGGGGGGATAGTTTGAGAAGAATTATTTTTAGCCCATCCTTAAAAGTTTGGTAGAACTCATTAGTGAAGCCATAATATTCCCGAATTTGCATTTTAAACATATTACTAATTTTAATCAGAAAAAATAACAATGAAAGAGTTTCAAAACAGGTTAGTAGGACAGTTACAATAATTAATATATTGCATATTGTTGTCGTCATAGTGGTTGTTCAGAGGACAAGATGCAGACATGATATCTTGTCTAAACATTATTAGTACAGTGGCCGAGGAGATAGCTCAGTTGAGTAAGTGTTTGCGTGGCAAATGCATGGTCCTGAGTTTGATTCCTGATACAAAATAAAATCATTATTAGTACAAATCTTTCTTCTCATTGAATTAAGAGAAGTTAGCTTCATATCTATCCTATTTTGTATATACATATATAATACATATATTTTTAACTACAAAACGGTCTTTCATTTATATTCCCCTTTTCTGTTTTGTTTTGTCAGAGATGGGTGTTCCATTGCTGTTAGAGAAACTGTATTTGGAGAAGTCATTAAAGGACCTTTTCATACATGATGCCAGTTCAAATATTGTAGCTACTTGAATTCAGCAAAATAATCCACTACTATTATGGACTATTGGACTATATTGATTTTGTATTTAAATTATGCAGCTTGGGCTCATGGTGATCCTTCTGTTTTGAACCTCTCCAGTGCTGGGATTACAGGCTGAGCCACCATGCTTGAACTCCATGGGCAGCTCAGTGCTCACTGGGGCCTGGGCTGGCACAGCATGTGGTACCAGGGATCACAGTGCAGTCCCTGTGCTTGCCTAAGCAAGTGCTTCAGTTCCCTGAGCTATCTTGCCATCCCAGGTCACTTGTGTTTTATAGCTCAATCTCTTTAGGTTGTTTCTGGAAATTCATTAATTCCTACTACATTTTCCAATTTCTTTGTATATAAGTGTCCATAAGAGTCCTTATACATCTCTTCTTCT